AATTCTTTTTTTTTTTCTTTAAATTGCCTAAAGTAAGTCTCAGTTTCTAAAAATTTCTTAATAAAAACCCAAAGATAAAGAGAACCAATTGCAATTCAACAATGAGGTGCCTTTTGGGCTAAAAGAAGGGAATCAATCTCTACCAGGAGTAGAGTTCGAACCCACAAGGACATTTGTCCATTGGATCTCAAAAGTCCACCTCCTTAACCTCTAGGCCACCATGGTCATATATGAAATTTTGATTTAAAAGTCCTGGTTAAATTCTTTTTTTTAATTTAAATTCCCTGAAGTAAGTCTCAGTTTCTTAAAATGTTTTTAATAAAAACCCAAAGATAAACAGAACTAACTTGCGATTTAAACATAGAGATGCCTTTTGGGCTAAAAGTAGGAATCAATCTCTACCAGGAGTGAAGTTCGAACCCAGAAGGACATTTGTCCATTGCATCTTTTGTCTAACACCTTAACCTCTAGGCCATCCTGGTAATATATAGCAAATAACTGAAAAGTTCTGGTTAAATTCTTTTTTTTAATTTAAATTCCCTGAAGTAAGTCTCAGTTTCTAAAAATTTCTTAATAAAAACCCAAAGATAAAGAGAACCAAATGCGAATCAACAATGAGATACCTTTTGGACTAAAAGAAGGAATCAGTCTCTACCTGGAGTGGGGTTCAAACCCACGAGGACATTTGTCCATTGGATCTTAAGTCCAACACCTTAACCTCTCGGCCATCCTGGTCTTATATGCAGAAAGATTTTGGTTAAATTCTTTTTTTTTTTTAAATCCCTATATTTTGTCTCAGTTTCTAAAAATGTCTTAATAAAAACTCAAAGTTATTTAGAATCAATTTGCAAGTCAAACATTGAGATGCCTTTTGGACTAAAAGAAGAAATCAATATCTACCAGAAGTGGGGTTCGATCTCACGACAACATTTGTCCATTGGATCTTAAAAGTCCACCTCCTTAACCTCTAGGCCACTCTGGTCATATATGAAATTATGATTTGAAAGTCCTGGTTAAATTCTTTTTTTTTCCTTTAAATTCCCTGAAGTAAGTTTCAGTTTCTAAAGATTTCTTAATAAAAAGCCAAAGATAAAGATTACCAATTGCGATTCAAACATTGAGATGCCTTTTGGGCAAAAAGAAAAAAATCAATCTCTACCAGGAGTAGGGTTTGAACCCACGAGGACATTTGTCCATTGGATCTTAAAAGTCCACCTCCTTAACCTCTAGGCCACCCTGGTCATATATGAAATTTTGATTTGAAAGTCCTGGTTAAATTCTTTTTTTTTCTTTAAATTCCCTGAAGTAAGTCTCAGTTTCTAAAATTTTCTTAATAAAAACCCAAAGATAAAGAGAACCAATTGCGAATCAACAATGAAATGCCTTTTGGGCAAAAAGAAGGGATTCAATCTCTACCAGGAGTGAGGTTCGAACCCACGAGGACATTTGGCCATTGGATCTTAAGTCCAACGACTTAACCTCTCGGCCATTCTGGTCATATATGAAAACTTGATTTAAAAAAGTTTTGGTTAGGTTTTTGTTTTTTCTTTAACCTCTTAAGCCCTGAGGCCTATTTTCCGAAAATCCTATACTTTTACTTTTTAAGGCATTTCTGAGCTTTTACAAGGCCTAAACTGCAAATCTTGGTATCAAAATTAAGATAGGTTCTTGGGGAGTGGTGTGGATGAGTTAATTTGACAGTCAAGAACACAGGGTAAGAGTAATTGATGTTGGAATGGCCAAAAAATGAACTCCGCCTAAAAAAAAAACACATGTTTCCTCCAATATCTCCTTATTTTACTTATAACGAAGCAAATAAACACAATCAATTGTAACCACTACATGTCAAGAACATCTGTAGCAAGTTTGGTGTTCATACTACAAGAAACTAATATTCTGTAAAGGTTTTGATTGAACAAAGTTCAGGCGTAATCCATGTTGGCACAGTTTGGCACAATTTGGCACAATAATTGAAATATGGAAAAAATCTTGTCCAAAGCTTCAGCTACGTTAATAGTCTTCTTTTGTTGCTTATGGGACATGATTTCAGCAAAAAAAACTCCTAAAGAAACGCTGTAAAAGGGGGGTAGAAGCTCATTTACGCCATCTTGCTGCGCTTTTGGGAACGTTTCACTCACAAACGCTTTGACGTCGAGCTTCTACGTGTCCCTACCCCCCCGACCATCTGTCCAATCCAGAAGATCTATATATCGACGGAAAGCTCCGATTCTATGGAAACCAATCAGCTCAACCATTTTGAGACTGACGGGATCGCCGACGAATCACACGACACGCAGCATGGAGAGACGTGCTCTTACGCACGGGGAGTCATTCCATATTTGGTGACGTAATGACGCCACAAAGCTAAAGAAACAATCCAAAATGGCGCTTGCACGAAGCTATTGACCGGACATAACAACAAACGGACTTTTATCGCTATGGAAATAACTTTTTGTTGAAAAAAAACGGCAAAGGTAAGACAAGATTTACATGCTTGCTTGGTTTTCGCTGGCGTTTTCTCGTGGAACTTTCGCTCCCTGCTCTGAAATACTTCATGCAATGTTAATGAGTTGCATATCACTGGTCAGGTGGTTGTTAGCTTTCATTTAATGTAATGGTTTGGGTGTTTCCGTTTATATTGTGGATACATATCGCACATAAACAAAAACGTGGTCATGAATTATACTCCGGACATGTTGTTGTTTATTTGCATAGCGTTCGAGCTGTGGTTAACGGATATGAAATTGAATTAGATACGTTTTTAGAGGAGTTTCGGCTGAACACAACAGTATTTAATATGTGTGGGTTATTCTCAGGGTTCGTGAGCTATGAGTGAAAATGCAACGCACAAGGGGGCAAGTCCCCGGTACCGGGGACT